AGCATCTGTTCAAAGCCCAGCTTCCCCTACCATTCTGCTGGATCCATACAAGTGATGATCTCAGCCACATCAGCTCCAAGGGCTGTACAAAATAACCCCCAGCACTTCTATTCTCTCCTTGGTCTGACCGAGGTTCAGATGAGGAGCTACAGCTCAAAAGCCGTAATTTTCTACAGCAGAGTGACAGCTGGAGGAGAAATACCAACAGAGGTATGGAATTTCATGGTCCAAGAAGTCACATTTCCCCATCATAGGGGAATGCCCATCCCCACACCTCCTCCTCTGCATTAGTCAGAGCCATTTGTTGAGAATCAGCAGCTTGTTTAAAGCTGTAACCTTACACACCAGCTATCCAAGGTTTCAGTTTCTCCTTCAGCTCCAGCCAGCCCAGAAAGCAAGCTACATTCACACCACATTTGGCAAGGAACCCAGCCAACAGCTGCTCACAGTCACCACAGCCACTTGTGCAAAGCTCGTATCAGCTACGCCAGGGGCAGGCACCTTCCCCTTGCCCCCGAACTTCACCACCAGGCCCCATCCATAACTTCCTCAACCACCTCCTTTCTATAACCACCTAGCAGGAGGTTTGGCTTAGGAGAAGCAAGCACAGCCATGCAGTGGTATAGATACACAATTACGTGGCAAAGGACAGGGTTACCCACAACTGGTACCAGAAACCTGCAAACCAGGACAGAAGGCAGCAGGGACCCTGCAGTTACAACTTGCTCCCACTGTGTGAATGCGGCTCCCAGTTTAGATGTCAAACAGCTGGAGGCCTGACCAGGCACTGCCCTGGCTAGGGAACCTATAGCCAGGACAGGCTGTTGCAATGCACTTAAGTAGCTCAAAAGTTATTCCCTTTACACTACCAAGCCTATTGGAGCTCTAGAAGCATACACTGTGCAACTGCATTCCTGACAAAGAGATCCACTTCAGAAGGTTAAACCACTTGGCTTTAAGCTCAAGCTGTAGTACAGTAACTGTCAGATACCTGGGTTTGCTGTTGGGGAAAGACGACAGTTCTTCCAAAGAGAGTTTTAGATACAGATGCAGAAGGGCTGAAAGGGTGGACCAAGATGACACGAGGAAGGCCACTCAGAAAAGCAATCACTCAGGGTGGTAACCCCTCAAGGCACCAGTGATGGCAACATGGTAGAAATCACTGCTACTACATGCCCAAATAGTAGTCTGCAGCAGGATCAAGAGGAGGCAGGGTCAAAAGCCTTTCAGGAACTTCTTTTTACTGTTCCCACTACCCAAAAATAAAGCCTGCATACCAAACAGAGCTTCATAATCCTTGAGAAAGTAGCACTACTGAGGCTGGCAGTTACTGAAGAACCAAACTGTACACGAAGCTGCTGAGCTGGGGTAGAGGAAAGGAGAATCCAGTTACACCTGCTAACAATATAGCCCAGTTTGGAAGAAACAATTTCCAGGTGTCTCCTGTTCCCCCAAACCAAGACCAAGGAAAACATGCACAGTAAGAAACACTTACCGTTTCTTTCTGGAAGTAGATGACCAGTCCAGCAGCAACCTGAGTTATGAGGATTATCATCAGGCAGGTGAAGTACTGGAAACAAAAGAGAATATATGACTACTAACAGCCTTTAGAAAGGTCTGTACATAATAGCACAAGTTTTAGTAAGATTTCATATACAGGGCAAGTCACAACATTGAGCCAACACCTTTGCCTGCAGACAAGCTCTGCTATCAACAATGCTCTCCCCAGTAAAAGACTTAAGTATGAGCATCTACATCAGACCAGTGCACTTCAGCACTTCTCCCATCAGGCCAACAGGAAGACTTCAGGAAGGAGAGGGTTTACAAGCACCTTCTCTGCACATGTCATTCCAGCTGGGACTCCCTCTCCCACCCCCAGCTCCATTCCCAGTCCACTCTGACCTCAATCAATTTGACTCTGCCTACCCCAAGCCTCCACAGCAAGAAAAGTCAATTTTACAAACCTAATTGGTTTCTTTTTGATTATTTTTAAAGTCAATTACCTTTTTAAAAAATGCTATTTAATTTGTTTGAGGATCTAAATTTAAGATTGACCTGCAAACTGCTTTTAAGGAAAGTTTGACATCTGCGGTTACTTTTAAATGGTGGCAGCTACATTAGGAGATGTTCCTAATGCCAAGACACATGATGTGGCCATACTTAGTTTCCTACACATATGTGCTCTGAATAAGCAGGAGTCAAGTAGCAGGCTGAGGTGTAAGAAGCTAGTGTCATCTCATCCACCACAGCCAGAAAATTTCCTATAGATAAACCGTTTGAAGAGAGGTTCTGACATACAGGACATTCCTAGTCGAGTCTGTCTCAACTCTTGCACAGAAGCTGAATTTTGCAGCACAGCAGGACACTGTCACTCTTCCCCTTCTCTCTCACTGCCCTTGATACTTGTCCTTGCACCACTGAGAGCACAATGCCAACTGGAAAATCGGGGTGGGGGGATGAGGTACAGGGTCACCTGGGACATCTCTCCTCAGCTGGCAGTCCTCAACACACTGTTTGCAGAAAGTGTCAGTGATGTCCTCTCTCATTTCGCAGAGTTATTAGCTCATCATCTGTAATGTCTGAGGAACCGCTGCTGCAGCCTGTTGACTGCTGGAGAATTTAATGTGTGCAAATTAAGAATTGGATCTAAGTTGACCTAGCAGAAGAATTGGATCTAAGTACCTAGCAGAGACCTGAGCCCCAGCTACAATCCAACAGATATTTTGCAGGAAACTATTAACAGATGAATCTAAAACATAGCATGAATTCTCTCACCAGACCCAAGAGACATCGGATTTCATTAACTGCTCCAAGACAGCCCAGGAACCCCATCAGCATGGTGAGAGCCCCAACACCGATGAGGATGTATGCACCAGTCTTCAGGGAGGGAGAAGACATCTCTGTAGGAGCCAGGAGAGGGAACAAAATTAGCTACTGACAAAAACTACATCTGCCATCACCTTTTAGAGAACTGCCTCCGTATCTACTTATATTAGTCTGTTGTCTTCTACAAAGGGACTGCACAGAGGCGTGTTGAACATGGGGACAGAAGGCTGCTTCTGGGTGTCTTCTGATGAAGGAAGACTTTCAAAGCCAACCTGCAGGTCTCCATTATCTCAGAGCCTGGAAGACTCAAAGTCACTCCAAACAAATGAACCTTATTTGGAAAAAGTTAGCTGCTTACTGGATTTTTAACTCCCTCATGAATGCACTCTGAGCAAGTGTAAGATAAAGTATGTTCTACTCCACAGCTACTGCCTATTTGCTTCAATTCCCTTTGCTATCTTCAGGGAAGCTTTTTTCCAAGTCCTAAAAACCCTTTTTGGTTTGGCTTTTCACTTTAATGCACTATTCCTTGTTCCAGCCATTCTGTTTTTACTTAGCCACTTGCAGTCAACAGTGGGACACACAAATTCCGTGGAGGGAAACATGATGCAAGAGTTACAGCTAGTTTTGAGCATAGATGATGTGACAGGTTACTTGACAAGTCAGTGTTGAATGGCCAGGCACTCACTGCAGGCTGTTGCAGCACCTGTGTATGATCCCCTGCAAATAGATGCTATTCCAGGATCAGAACAGATATCATGCCCAAATTAGCTACTTCTCCTCCTAGCTATCCCCTCCTATTGTGTCTGAAATGACTGTGCTCTTGAAAGCTCAACAGTTTTTCAACCAAGTTTAGGTAGTATTATTTCAGACATGCTGATGCTGTCAGTCCTCTCCCCTCAATATTTAGTACTGCGAGCAACAGAAGAAACAAGCTCTTACATTTGGGTTGGTCACAGGATTATTTCTTGCAGAATAGGATTGGAGGAAGCAAGCATTATGGCATAAAAGTTGAAGAGATACTCTGTCTAGAAATAGTAACCAGAAACCTCATTTATCATTAAGAGACACTCTTAAACCTGCACAGTGTAGGGGAATTCTGGATGTCCACTGATTAATGAAAATAATCTTCCTAGAGCTCAGCATTTAGTTTCCTGGACAGAAGTCCCAGAAGGCAAACTTCCTCTGAGCTCCTCCTGAAATAGGTTATGAGAGAGTAACCAAATCCAGACTAATACTCTCCCCCCAACAAATACCTCCCCCCACTTCTGATACCTGGTGCAAGTCACCAGCTTCCAAACTTTTTCCCTAGAACATGCCAAACAGAGGGAAAAGATCAGTTATCAAAAAATGAACCAGAGCCGTTTGCCACACAGGTCACTTCAGACTCTCCAGCCTCAATTCATTTCCAGGCCAGACTCTCCCTGGCTGGACATATGCCACAGAAACCAGTGGCTCCTCCTTTCTCACCAGTCCTGGGACTCTTGCTGTGCCGGTTGGGTGGCGACACTGCAAAGCATTTACTGAAGTAGCAGCCTTAGAAAATTGGCCTTCACAAGACTACATTATTCCCTCCCCCAAAATCTGCTCAGCCATCATACAAGTGTTCAAGTACCCAGGTTGCAGCACCTCTACAGTGCTAGAAAGCAGTTGCTTAGTCAACTTCTCACTAGAAGAAAGAAAAAGGCATTTCCAGCTCAAAAGCCCTTTGGAGAAGTGACAGTGGCAGGGGGACAGGAGCCGTGCTTGCACTTCTCATCTGCAATACGTCTTGTCTTGCAAGAGAAGGCTCTGCTGGCAAGACGATTCCTGCTCTGTTTGCTGTCACTCCACGTTTTCCCCTGCACTGGGCAGGCGGCCAAGCAAGTACAACAGGCTCCTTTGGCAGTGGCTGGAGTGCCCTGCTGTGCTGGGCTCCCTCCCTGATGCCTGGGTTACTAAAGCAGAGGGAAAGATGGGCAGGGCATGGGAAAGGAAGCAAGGGGGCAGGGAGAAAGAGCTGATGCTGGAAATCTCCAGGAAGGAAGCTAAATCCTTAAATGCTCTGTTAGCAGAGATTCTGGGTAAAATGGGAAGAAGCAGAGCCAAGCTCAGGGACTTTGTACCTCCACAAATGGCAATAACACCCCTCAGCCTGGGGGAACAGCTGCTGGCCCACTGGTACCAAACACACCTCAGACCATGAGGGGTGCTGCAAATAGCCAGGCCCTGATAAGCTCCTTTTCAGCTGCCTGTATTAAAAGTGCATTTCTGTTCATGCCCCCACTTTATTAACCAACACCCCTTGTTGTGCTTCTTGCCCTTCTAGTACTGCAGTAGCAAGCCAGATGCCACAGCACACAAACAGAGTAAGCAGTATTTGTGTGTATGGCATTAGTGGGGGTGTTGTCTCCACCCAGCACCT